TAGTAGTAACAAGAAGCTAGTAGTAACAAGTGCCACGCTAGTAGTAAGAGGTGCCTTACTAGTAGTAACAAGGTTCGCTATTAGAAACAAGGGCCCATGTCGTGACCTCATGGTAGGTGCCTTGAAAAAAGAACGAACCATGCCCCAAGCTGCCAAACTGGCAGCTCAACCCAAGAAAAAAGAACCCAAGCTATCCCACACAGGTCTCACCCGCAAGCCACACCCTCAACCGCCATAGGCCGCCATACCCCTTCTGTGGTTTGCCCTCGCCTAGGACACGGCCAGAGGCCCCATCGCCAAAGACTTCTTCGACGATGTAGCGGCCTCCGGGTCCCACGGCAGGCGGCTACGCGACGCATGCGTTGGGCAGATGGAAATCACCAAGGGGTAGCGATGTCCAAAGAGAAACATCCAAAGGCCCTGATGGAATTCTGGGTGAACCAGGGCCGTTCCCACCAAAACCCCACCAAAGCCTACAGCCCTGGACTTGCGAGCTCGTTTGCTTCACACCTTTGCAAGCTTCAACTCTCCAACCGAGCTCACCACACATAACCCATGGTGTTTGAAACAAAACCTTCCAAAACCAAGCACCATCACCACACCACACCCACCCAAACGCCCCCACCCCAGGGTCGGTCCCGCGCCTTCCTCACCGAGGGCCGCGCCGATCTCCACCTCGATGTGCGGTGGCCCCCCGTCGCGGTGCCGCTCCGCGCGGGGCTCGCGGTGCTCGTGGCGCGGAGCTGAGCGCGGAGAGCGCTCCAGGTCCTGCGAGCGTGGCCTGGGCGGAGCCGGCGGAGCCATGGTGTGGAGCCATGGGGGGTGTTTTTGGACGATGATGGCTTGTTTCATGCCAGTGATGAGTGGATGATGAGTGGATGATGGGTGGATGATGGATGGATGAGTCTACCAAGATCCCCTGCTGGATCCGCTCCTTGGTGGGTGCCCAAGCCAATTTCATTCCCCCTCAGGACCACGTGCCGCACAGCACGAAGTAAGCAGGTGCCGTGCTGCAGAAGTTCTGCGGTCGGTGCAAAGGTCGTTCGGCCAACATCTCTGTCACGCCACGCGTCGCTTGTGGACACCTTCAAACTGCTCTGTCAGGTCGGCCATGGTCGGCCATGGTCAGATGGTCACCAAAAAGCCAAGCACCCAATTGGAGGCCAATGCTTTTAGGAACAAGGACGCTACGACTACGAACGGGGCTCCTGGCATCGCCACGCTCCGTTCGCGATCGGACGCTACTAGCTTGGAGGCCGCTTTCCACCCAGGTCTACTAGGAGCAAGGACGCTACTAGGAGCTCCTGGCCTCACTACTAGGAGCAAGAAGCTACTAGTAACAAAGGG